GTGCTTGTAGTCCTTGTGTTTTAATAATTACGTAATTTATTTTCTACATCATATATGCTAAAGAATGAGTGTGCTATAACTTTTGGTGCTTTGCTAATGATATGTAAAAAAAAACTCCTCCTGCTTTGCTCATTGTTCAACCCTTCACTGCCACGGCGCCATCTACCACCATAAGATCTTGAAAATGTAGGAATCCGTCAGAATTGCGTTCTCTTCAACGTTCTCTCCAATTAACTCGACTCTTAATTCTCAAATTCAAAATTCTTCTAGTTTGAGAATAATTGCATATTTATAATCAAAGCATAATCTCAAATCCTATGTAAGGTTGGAGCCACAAAGCTAACAAAATTATGGCTAACATGTTGCTTGGTGCTGAAATTGTTTGATCAACAATTAAAACACTAACATTAGTAAATTCAATCTAGACAGATGAGATATTGATAATCAATCTAAATTTTTAATCAATTATGACCAACTAATTGACTAGAGCTGTGTGGATTCAACAAGTAACATGTTGGAAACAACATACAGAAAATGAAAGTGGAAACTTGTATAATTAAGCTCAATTTTGTCATATGTATGCTATTTTTTTATGCATGCAAATAATAACAAATTCATTTAAATGCAAATGACCTATCCTTATACTCCATTAAATCATGGCCTTCATTTAAAACAACTGTTAATGAAATAAACAAGAAGAGTGCAAAAATATGAATGTGATTGTGAATGTACAAGTGAACTCAATATTTTATTTTATTAATGTGTAAATCTCACAAGTGAGTTTTTACGAACATGACAAGTGCTAAAGTGAACTTAAAAGAGGGGTTTTGTGAAAATTTCTCTCTAAATTCATCAGCTTTCAATGCCCATAGCCTCTCACTTCTGACATGTGTGTCAGCTTTCCAATAAATTCACCTCGATGTGGAGGGATCTCATTTTTTCCTTTTTTTTTTTTGCCACATAGCCAATGAGGGTGCCATCTCATCATCTTCTCGTGCAAATAAACAAAGGAAAGTGGGGCAAGCTACCAATGGACCCACAATTCAACAACTTTTCCAGCTTTCCTCGCAAAAAATTGGCAACCAAACAGGCCCTTAGTAATTAATTGCATTATCAAGTAGCAACCATTTAGATGAGTTGAGATATAGCCACCTCACTACCAAGGAGTTAATGACCAAGTTTGTCCTTGGTACCAAGGATACTCATTTCTCTCGTATGAGAGAAAAGAGTATACTTGGTAACATGCAAAACGTTGGTGCTTACTAGTGACGTCGATGCTTTTCATACACACATTTAAAGGTGCCCATTAAAATTGTCTCTACTTAATTACTCACTCATTAGATAAGTGGATGAGAAGTAGTCACATCACTACCAAACACAAAAGTTAGTGTCTGGTATCAAGTATACCCATATTCCTCGTATGTGTGTGTGCGCGTATTTTTTTTTTGGATGGGGGGTGTTCCTAAGGTACGCTTTAGGTTCAATTTAAGGAAGTGCTTTCAAAACTACATTATACGCAATCAATTAACTCGATCCACTCCGTTCATTTCGATATACATGTTTTGGATGTGTATAAACAAAATATTAGGTATGTTGGGTTGTAGTTACTCATGCATCAAGAGATTGTAAAATTAACGGTTTAACGACAATAAAACTAAAGGGACAATGAAAAATATGTGTTAGAAGTATTGGAATATCATGATTAATGAATTGAGCGGATCATCTATTGTAATAGTCTAACCCAAAAATCAAGAAGCACTATATATATAGATAAGGATGGATGGTTGTGAGGTGTCGGCTCATTTAACATAATGAGCTACCAAGAGATGAAATAGTGAGATCCACATTTTTTAATGTGACAGCTAGGGTGGGCCTTATAACATGTGCATCTCTT